AGAGCCTCTTACTAGATCTTAGGCACCTAAGTCTGGTGTTTAGATCCCTTGGGTATGTCTACACAGCAAAGTTATTTCGGAGTATTGGCCGTTAGGCCGCAATAACTGTGTGAGCGTCTACTCAGCAATCGTGGTATTTTGAAATAACAGGTGGCATATTCTGAAATCTAGAAACCTCATTCTATGACTAACACATCTTCAGAGCCTCTTACTAGATCTTAGGCACCTAAGTCTGGTGTTTAGATCCCTTGGGTATGTCTACACAGCAAAGTTATTTCGGAGTATTGGCCGTTAGGCCGCAATAACTGTGTGAGCGTCTACTCAGCAATCGTGGTATTTTGAAATAACAGGTGGCATATTCTGAAATCTAGAAACCTCATTCTATGACTAACACATCTTCCGGAATAGGGGCTGCAGTTATTTTGGAGTAAGGGACCCCCAGCTCCTCCCACGGTGCCCTGCTGGCCATTCCAGCCACACGCAGCCAAACTCGATATTCCACCCCCACGTCCCCTGGAGCCCTTAAAGCTGCAGCCTCAGTAGAAAGGGCTGCTGGCCAGCAGGAGGCCCTGATGGCCCAGATCCACCCTGCAACTGCCACTGCCACTGCCTCACTTTCCACCCTGCCGCTCCCAGGGAGCAGTGAGCCAGCTCTCAGGTGCTTGCCGGGGCCAAACGAGGCAGGCGCCTTCCTGGTCTGAGGCGCAGATCCTGGACTTTATTGATGTTTGGGGTGATGCGACCCAAGGCCGGCTTTAGGGGGCCCAATTCGAACCGTTTTGGTGCCCCCTCCCCCCAGGATTTTTTGTTGAGAAAAAAAATACACACAAGAAACCACAAACAAATATCACCTCAGAAGTAGATCTGATCACAATGTATAGCAATATAGTTGAACATTTTCAAAAAAAATGCAAAATTTTACACAAAATTAAATCAGTTGCCTTAAGTGTAGGTCAAAAATATTTTCAATTGCAAACTATCCAATTTTTTCAATAACGTTTAAAGTTTCATTTTTAAAAAGTTCCCAGAGAGCGTTTCAGTTTTCTGTTCCATTGATTTACTTTTTAAATAGCAAAAATGGAGTCTCTTTTTATTCCGCACCTGCTTTTGCGGAAAAACTTGCCAGTCTAGATGCAGCCTGCATTTAAAGTGTCAGATATAATTGAGGACCCCCAAATAGACTCTACACCACCAGAAAAAAAACCTGTTTCCATCTTCTGTGACTTCCTCTGCTTAGTGTTCAAGTTATGATAGACTCTAAGCCAGGTCATATTAAGTTCAGGTCTTTTACCTTTTAATCATGCAATATGGATTACAACATTTCATTCTCCCTGCTCCAAGTCTTAAGTGAATTTTGACCCAAAAGAGCCAAAATTGAGCACCTTGACACAGCAAGTGTGTCTACTGATCTCTGTGGCAAAGTAGGTATGTCTATATAAATAAGGTCTGCTCGTGAAGCCTTTTCCTACAGTTGATTAACAGATGGCAGTAGATAGCTCATTCAGATAATGGCTGATAATGCTACTCTCCACTGTCTCTATGATTCCCTGATGACCTGTGACAAAAAAGGAGGGTGGAAAGGGAAACTGAAGGGAGAGACCTCTCTAAATGGAGGTGGGCATAGAAGACAGAAATGTTGAGAGTCTCTGGGTTAGGCTAAAAGGGATTAAAAACAAAGGTGATGTCATGCTAGGCGTCTACTACAGGCTACCTACCCAGATAGAAAAAGTAGATGAGGCTTTTTTTAAACAACTAACAAAATCATCCAAAGCCCAAGATTTGGTGGTGATGGGGGACTACAACTATCCAGATATATGTTGGGAAAATAACACTGCGGGTCACAAGTTCTTGGACAGCATTGGAGACAACTTTTTATTTCAGAAGACTGGAAAAGCTACCAGGGAGAAAGCTGTTCTAGATTTGACGCTAACAAATAGGGAGGAACTGGTTGAGAATTTGAAAGTGGAAGGCAGGTTGGGTGAAAGTGATCATGAAATCATAGAGTTCACAATTCTAAGGACGGGTAGAAGGGAGAACAGCAAAATAGAGACAATGGATTTCGGGAAGGCGGATATTGGTAAGCTCAGGGAGCTGATAGGTAAGGTCCCATGGGAATTGAGAATGAGAGGAAAAACAACTGAGGAGAGTTGGCAGTTTTTTAAAGGGACATTGTTAAGGATCCAAAAGCAAGCTATTCTGATGTGTTGGAAAGATAGAAAATATGGCAAAAGCCTGCTGAGGCTTAACTACGAGATCTTGAATGATCTAAAAATAAAAAGGAGTCCTATAAAAAATGGAAAGTAGGACAAATTACAAAGGATGAATATAGGCAATCAGCACAGGAACGCAGGGGCAAGATTAGAAAGGCAAAGGCACAAAATGAGCTCAAACTAGCTATGGAAATAAAGGGAAACAAGAAGACGTTTTATAAATACATTAGAAGCAAGAGGAAGACCAAGA